CTCTGGCAGGGGGCGCGAGGGTCCTGGCCTTTAAGGAGGGGCATCAGGGCAGGGCAGGGGTGGCATCACAGGCGGAGCAGCCTGCTGTGTACCCAAATGAGAGGTGGCTCTGTGTGCCCTGCTGTGGATAAGAGCTCACCGTGCTGGGCACTCTGCCTCCTTGTGGTGGATGTTTGAAGTACACAAGGCTGGCTGAACCGCAGCGTCCACATTTCCCACCAGTTCCCAGAGAAGCAGACTAGGACTTCAGAGTCCCGGGAGAGTCTGGGGACGCGGGGAAGCGCGGGGGCGAAACGGGGCTGGGGCAGAGCGGCGCTGGAGTCCCCCCGGTCCGGGACAGTGGTAGGCGCGGTTAGTCGCGGCTCCGAGTGGCCAGGGCGGTGGGCTGTGCCGGAGTCTCCTCCCTTTGACCCGCAGCAGGTGGGTGGCGGAAGGAGGGACCGTTGTGGGCGCGGGGAGGGGGCACCATGGCGGAGCTGGGGAGCCGGGAAGGCCAGGCTGGGGTAACTACTGTCAGCCCCGCAGTGCTGGGCCTGCACTGAGGGAGGGCACTTTTTGGGGTGCGCAGCTCGTGGCCCGAGTGGGGGAGGGGGGAGAGACGCCCCTAAATTCCCCTAAGGGAACTTGGCGGCTGCTTGGGTCCACCTGCATTTGGGGGTGTGAGTGAGTGGCGCGTGGGGAGCAGCGGGCGTGTGGTGTGGGGTGACCTGGCGTCACCAGAGAGTAGGAAGGCGAGAGGAAGACCTAGAAAGCCATCCGGAGAGGCTATGGAGACAGATCCACTGACCCTGAGGCCCCCAGGAGTAGAAACCCCCGCGACGAACTCGCTAGGGTGAAACGAAAATAACATTTGTCACCTACTTGGGGTGGCCTTGCTGAGCACTCCGAGGGTATTCAGTAAACTGATAAAGTCCTGCGGGGTAGGCCAGAAACTTCTTTCAACTCAGGAGCAACAGGCGGAGTGAGGCGGCTGGTGGTGCACCAGCACGGGGTGGAGTTGAGGGACCTGAAGCCCATGTGGTAGGTGGGGGTGGGCGCCTTTGCTTACCTGGCTCATCCGGGAAGGCTCAGGCTTCTCTTTAAAAAATTTGCTTTTGTTGTTAACCTGTTCAAGTATAAGTGTGTATAATTTAATTTTGAACAATGGCTGTTTCACAACCAGTAGGCAAAATTCCCCCAATGGAACATTGGCATTTGCAAATAGGTGAGCTACCACTGCTCTCCCTGTTCCCTAAGCCGGGATCTGCCTTTTAAAACTTCCTCTTGTCCTGAAATACTTGAGGCAGTTTACAAATACTCGTTACATGTTACAAATACTTGTTACATGTTGCAAAATCTGAACATCTGTAAGCATTCATCCAGGATATCCTCTGAGCTGGGAGCCTAACCATGGGAGAGGGAAGAACCCAGGAGGGTCAGGCCCTGGGGACATCCTTGAGTGCCTCATGCCACCTGGTAAGCACAGGCTATCTGGATGCCAGGTGGGCTCGCACTTGGTGCAGCTGTATGTACCCCTGAGATGGGCCTGGGACTGTGCCTTATGTCTTAAAGAAGAATATCCCCCAGAGAAATCCCCTGGAGGGATCCTGCCCCGTAGTGCACAAGGAACCAGGGCCCTTTTCCCGATCTCTGCCACCCTGGGATAAGCACAACCTTCCCTCCCTGCCCCTTCACTGGAGCCCACAGGCTTTTGTGAGAACTACACATCAAGCAGAGCTGGCAGGATGACCTCCAGCCTCTGAAGTTCTTCCCAGCCCTGACATTCTCAGATTCTTGATTTGCTACTGCGGTCCACAAGAAAATGGGATTTCATTAAGCCATTTTAAGAGATTTAATTCCAGCCACATGTACATTATATTGGCCTCTCTACATGCAGTTATTTAAACGTCTTTATAATAGGTAGAGTTGGAAATGCCATTCTAGGAAACAAACTTCCCAGGGACCCTGACATGCCCACCATCAAACAAAGCAGTTAAGCAACAGGACAGGAGTTACCCCAAACCAGGGATATTTCCATTCTAAATGGATCTGTGGGAGGGAAAAGGAAAGATCCCCAAGAATCGATGGGGGATACAGGAGTTGCTGTGGTTCGTGAGTGTTGTCTCTAAGAGGGAGCCAGCAAACTCTCCCAGCCTTACTTAACTGGTATAATCCACAGATAATAATATTGCCCCTTAGCCATGGCCTCCTTACCCTGAAGTTCCTAGGGCCTGGAAAATCTCAAATTACTGTGGACTTATCCCTCCTCCGGGAAGCCTTCCCAGCCGCTCCCTCCTGCCCTAGGCTCACACTGAGCTCCAGGCTTCCTCAACTGCTGAGTGTGCCTGGGCCTGTCCTTATCCTTAGGAATAGGTGAAGTCCAGCACTGGGCCAAGTGGCTTCCTAAAAGCCAGCTGTGACAGCTGTGGTGGTACTGGGCAGACAGCATCACATTAAGCCCTGGTCACTATGGTGCCTGTGGCTGGGGAGGGAGCCCAAGCTGTGTGACCAAAGGAAGGGCCAGAGCTGCGAGTTACCTGGTTCATGAAAGGGGCCTTCTAGTACCCACTACCTGAAGCTGTGGCCCTGGCATGTGGCCTGGCCCACAGGGCCACTCCACCAACATTTTTCTCTAGCTAAACTTGCACCTCCCTGGCAGGACTGCTAGCATGTGTGCAAGGGTCGTACATGCCCTGCACAGGGGCCCAACTAAGAAGGCCCCACACCCAGCCAGCCATGTGCCCTCCTGCGGGCCCTGACAGGAGGGGCCTTTTCTCTAACATGTACAAGGTCCCTGTGTACTATCAGCCACCCACAACTAGGAACTGGAGTAGCTGGAGTGATTAGAAAGTCTCCACCCTGGAAGGCTGAGGGCTGGAGCTTCTCTCCAAGGGGAGGGGAGGGAGGGGCTACGTCACTGTTGCAGCTAAAATGGCCCAAGAGAAAGCTAAGGCTGGATGCAAACCCCCCCCCCCCCC